TGTCACTACTTTCTGAATTTACCACTTTTTAGTGTGGTGTAGACAGCGTGGTCGTGAGGCTGAAGACTGAGGGCTGGATGGCTAGTGCTGTCGCCACGCACTGTGTAGCTCAGGATGCTTAATTTGGCCCCTGACAGAAAAACCCCATCACCTTACTTGGGGTAAAACCCGGGTATCCTGGATTAAAGTCTGACGTAACTGCCCAGCCAGCCACTTCTTCAATAGAAACATATATACAAACAAATGCACAAACAAAATGAATGATATTTAAGAACAGAAGTAAAACAAGAGGCAATTTGATTTGTATATTTCAGTTAAAAGTAATAATGTTTTGTGACTCTTTGTGTTCATGTGACTGTAGTAATGCATCTGACAAGAAATAGTGAAACATACCAGGCAAAACAATTGTGCAATATATTGTATGTGTCGGCATTTTTAAAAGTATTTATGTTCAAAGAAACTGTACATGTTGATACTTCTTGTAAAATTTGTGTTGTACTGTAATGACTCAGCCCTTCTTCAAACTGTAAGCTGCTTAGAGACAGACGTATACAAACAAAAAGCAGCTAATAAACAAGCTTTCTGTACTAATTGTGTGCTCTCAATGAACAGTCCCAGGAAAACATAAACGCAAAATTACATCATGTGACAGGAAATGTACAAGAAATGAGATGGGAAAAACAAGAACAGAGCCACCAACAAAGAACTAAAAATAATGGTAGGAACAGAACATCAAAGAATGAAATGGTTTGGTCATCCAGTCAGAATGGAATAAAATCAGCCAGTAGCTAGTGAATATTACATGAGAACAGCAAGCTATAATCAAGAGGCTTATCCAAGAAAGAGATGGGTGAAGGGAATAAAAGAGACACTACAGTAATGCTAAATAACATTAATACAAGTAAGGAAACTAGAACAAAAAAGGAAACTACATCTAACTCCTCTCTGTGATCAATCAGGAATAAATAATCAAATCTGCAAGGTCAGGGTGATGTTGACTCCAACATCTAGGTAGGACCAACTGGCATATACAAATATGTGTCTAGCATCATTTGCCTGATGTTCCCATGTGGGTTCCAGGGCCCCATTTGTGGGTAAAACAAGAATAGACCCACTGCCTCCTCAACAAGCATGTCCTAGCAGTCGACTAACTGGGGACATCATTTAAAGTCGGAGTACATCTGCCTGAGAGGCAAGGAACCACAAGTCTGACATAAAATAAGCTAGATCTGTGAAACGGATGTGCACGCAGCACTCACGTTCTGGAATAAGACTTAAGTCTGGAGATGGATGAACACCCAGAGCTTTCCATTATAGTTTACAGCCAGTGATTGTGAAGAAGAGAAAGATATGCCTGTTGTGTCACTGGCATTTAGCCTTGTATTTTGTGCACAGCATGTACACTGTGTCTCAGTTGTTTGTATAGTCACGTCTGTTGAATGTTCATTTCTCTTCCAAATGTAATCACATCTGTTTGCTAAACACTCATTTCTCACTTTCATGTGTAACTATGTCTGTTCGTTAAATGTGCACTTTCTAGCTCTCATATCCAATAACACCTGTTTTCTGTCTTTTCTATTGATATAATAGAAGTCAGCTGTCAATTAAATACTTGCATCAAACATAGAGGTGATAACATTTTCAGTAAGTAATTGTTTACACAAGTCAGTTTTTAATTCAGTATAATAAAAAAAAAACCTATAGTTCTTTAAATATCCACATTTTCCATTTACTAAAAAAAAAAAGCCATGTAATTGTTTAGTAAATGACAATGTCTCCCAGCTTTAAAATCAAATGTCCTGTAATTGTTCTTCAAATGTCCATATCTTCCCTGTATAAAATCCGTTTTTCAAAATAATTGTACACCAAATGTCTGTGTTAATATATTAATAAAATCAAATGCCCCCTAACTGTTCATTAAATATCTATATCTCACATCAAAAAAATCAAATTTTCTGTAATTATCAAATGTCCTTGTCCCAAATCAATCAAAAGTCCCGCAAATGTTCATCAAATATTAATTTAATGTATCCCATAAACATAACTAGAATGTTTGCTAAGTGTTTACAAAATGTCCATGTCTCCTATTTATAAAACAACATTTTCTGTATCTGTTCATCAGTTATCCAAGTTTCACATCTAAATAATCCAATTACCTGAAGTCTTTTACCGTATGTCTATGTCTCTTTATGATTCTTTCAGCAGTAGGGTTTTATCTCCACAACCGATGGACTCTTTGAAGAGAAAAAAACTGTTCTCGTGGTTTTCGAGCAGTGAATGGTATTAGAGCCATACTTTGGAAGAGATAGGCACCTCACCAAGTAATACTGCCAAAGACTGCAGTGAATGGTATTAGAGCCATACTGTGGAAGAGACAGGCACCTCACCAAGTAATACTGCCAAAGACTGCAGTGAATGGTATTAGAGCCATACCCTGGAAGAGATAGGGAACTCACCAAGTAATACTGCCAAAGACTGCAGTGAATGGTATTAGAGCCATACTGTGGAAGAGACAGGCACCTCACCAAGTAATACTGCCAAAGACTGCAGTGAATGGTATTAGAGCCATACCCTGGAAGAGATAGGGAACTCACCAAGTAATACTGCCAAAGACTGCAGTGAATGGTATTAGAGCCATACTGTGGAAGAGACAGGCACCTCACCAAGTAATACTGCCAAAGACTGTAGTGAATGGTATTAGAGCCATACCCTGGAAGAGATAGGGAACTCACCAAGTAATACTACCAAAGACTGCAGTGAATGCTCTGTAGACAACATTCACTGTAGAGACAGCCCAGATATTTTGTCTAGGCCCCACATCAATTAAATTGAAAAATGAAAAACAGCACATTATCAAATGCTCATAACAGACATCAAATATGACAAAACGTATGTCATTTATCAAATTTCCATGCCACATATCGATACAAAACCTTAATGGTCTGATATCAACAGCCAGAGTCCAATCTATTTATGGGAGACTGATGCGCTTATGGAGTTATCTGAGTGGAAATTATTCTTTATGAAGCAAACAAAATAAGCCATTTGTTGTGTAAATATTTAACAAAGAAGATATACAGATTATAAATATATATGTGAGTATGTTAAAATTATATACACATTTTGTTTATCTTGATTACTAAAAGATGGCATTCTGGTTAAGTGGTTAGTACACTTGCCAACAAAGACAGCGGCTGAGTGCTCAAATCCTCGCAGTGCCATAATAAAATTTATCAGTATGGCTGTCAGAATTGAGCTTTTTTAAAAAGCTAAGTCGCCGTTAAATTTTCCCATAAGCCTATGACATAGAGGTTCAAAGGTCGAGGCAGATTTATATAAATGTTTTTTTCTGAACTACTGGAAACATTTTCAAAATAATGCTTCTCTCTTTTAGTGTTTACTGATAGATAACTCATTATATATTTTGTTCAAAAATTTGCAAATGTAGATTTTCCACATACAGACACATTTTTTTGTTACTGTCCTGTGTAAATTATTCGATTACTGAGACTCCCACAGGGTCAGGACATATTTACTGGGGTGACATAATTAGGTGTTATTTAAAAAAAAATTAAAATAAGAAAAGGATATTTTCTAATGGCGCATCGGGCATACAATTCTAGCTGCATATTTTGTTATAACAATTAACACCTGTGTGAATCTTGGTGCCAGCTGCTTTTACTGTCCAAGATATTAACTGCTGCCCATTTTGGGCTAAGTTGATCAATAGCTTTTTTGTCCCCCTGTTAAATCTAACTAAATGAGGATTCAAACCTTGACAGTATCACTGAGATAGGCTGGTTTTCATGTATATTTTATCTGAAGTAAGGTGAATTTGCTGATTTATTTTTAATATAAGCTGTGTGTATTTAAAAAAGGGGAAAAAGTTAAGGTCCCAGATTAATTTTTATAATATTCTCCTCTATGGAGTTTCGGACCAAAGATGAGCAGGCAAGTGGGATTATTCTTTATATCAAGGTTATTTAACTAAAGGGCTAACATGTTGAAAATAGGGATCATAGGTTAGAGCCTTAGCATTGACAGATCATTAATACAATTCGACTGGCAATGATCCATGGTCACTCTGCTGGGTCTCCAGGGGCCAGATTTGGCCTGTGGGTCACCAGTTGAATAGCCCTGCTTGACATCTTGGTTATTTCCCAATGGCTGAAGCCCAGCAGCTGCAATTAGTTGAAAATTCTATACAGGACTTTCCGGAACCAACTTCAGCATTTCTTGGCTGTTTATGGGTTTACCAGGTAACTTTTCATCCAGTAATCTGCGACTAGTCGGCCTGTCGCTAAGTCGATGCGATTGCTTCGTAATGCCGGGATCGATCCCAGCTGCGGGCCATGCGCCTTGCCTTGGTTTCGACAGTGGTATCAAGAAAGCCAACGGTCCAGAAAGTAATGGCAAATACTGGACGTAAATTTGCCTAGAAAAACCATACAACAGCCAGGGCCTGTTGGGGTTGGTTCTGCAATGTCCTGTAAAGGATACACAACTAAGCCAGTCTGTGACTGCTTTCTGGACACTGACGCTCTGTACACTGTCGAAATCAAAACAATGCGGTCTGCAGCCATATCACCTGAAATTGAACTGACCCGGGTACTTTGGAATTGCAAAAGGTGCTTGCTGTCTAACAGCTTTCTGTCTTTAGTGAATATATTAATCCCTTTAAGGAAGTGTAGAGCGGAATATCTTCAGCCTTAGGATTTTTAAGGCCTAGTGCAGTCACCGTGAAAAGTGTAGGTCAGGATTTTAATTTTCGCCATGACAGGAAAAAAACTGTTATTTCTTACCAAGGATTTCCCAGATGAAAGCCCAGTTTGTAACCAACTGGCGAGCTGCTTCTCTTACATCTTTCCTGACTCCTCCTCCTCCCTAGATTAATCAGGAAAGCAAAGGCTTCTCATCAGCCCTACTCTGACTAACTGTACATCTTTATAAGTTATATATAACAGGCAACATCACAACCATAATACAGCTTCTCCTCTAAGTTAACACTGGCATGAGGAGCTCTGAGCTTGCGGCTGAGTGGGCTCATCTTTGTAGGGCAATTTGAGAGAGTGTTCAGTGGAAAACATATCGGGTTCATGCTGGTTGACGACAGCTCCCATTCCACTGTTGGGTACGGTTTCATACAAGTGGATCAGCTGTTTGGATACTTGTAGAAAAGCATCTTCTATGCCTGAAAATAAAATATTGTATTATTATTGGTACTTTTAAGTTTTTCCAGATGAAAGTATCACTCCGTCCCCCCCTCCCCCTCTGGATTAATGAAGTCCTATCTGCGGAAAGAGAAGGAGGTGGAAGAACAGACCCACAACTCTTAACAAGCATGTTGTAACAGGTGACTTACTAAAGGTTTGCTGAAATTAGAATTGTTGAGAGGAAAGGTGCAGATACTGCAGTCTAGCTGTAAACCACAAAACAATGTGCCAACAGCCCTTTTAATGATGAATAAAGCAACAGCCAAAGAAGAAGATGAAAAAACAAGAAGAATTATATTTTACTACATGGAGGTATGTGAATCACAGCCTATATCAATGGCGCATGTGACAACTAAGACGAGTCTGTATTAAGAAAAGACTATTAAAAAAAACAAATAGGATTTCAGCTCCATTGTTACTATCACATGTTGGCATGTTTCTTCTCAAAATAAACAGGAAACAGGTTACCTTTACTAGCCACGATATTATCATGAATGCTAATCAGCCATTAAATTTATATTGCGATCGTTAAAAAAAAGGGGAGCACTGACCTTCATCGGGAAACTATTTTTCTGTACTCTTTACATGAAAAATTCCCTCCAGACAATTATTAAGAGTTATTACAAAGATGCCAGGCTGTGACATAACATGGTTTTGCTGCATAAACGATAAATCAAATTTTATTTTTTTTGCAGCATATGTGTAATCATCTGTGTTCCTGATATGTAAAATCTCTGATCACTTTCCATGTCACTGTGCTAAGATTTTCAGTATTCTCTCTCTCTCTCTCTTTGGCATCTGAGACTTAGGTGTTATAATAATCATTTTGCAAACAATGTGCCAACTATCCTTTTAATAGTAGGCAATGATCCTTAAACCTTACGGACCCAAAGATTACTTCCAAAGGAATGGAAGGAGGCAGAAACAGTCCCCATAGCAAAGAAAGGAATGCCTAAGGGAAACAAATCTAGTTACTGCACCCATAAGCTTCCCAAGCTGCCTTAGAAAGATCAGGGAAAGATTAGTAAACAACAGGTTACTTAATTTGCTGGAAGAAAGCAAGATATTGGATGACAGCCAATCAGGCATCATGAAATACAGAAGCACTGCTGACCAAACTCTTATCATGCAAAAGAAATTTAAAATGCTTTCCAGAAAAAAAAAATACCAAATTTGACAAGGTTTGGGAATTAGATCATTATACATCCTTACGTCCTTTTGAGAACGTAATTTTTTGGTTATTTGAAGCCCCACTCTGGCTTTTGCCAGGGGCCGCAATATAGGCAGGCCATAAATATGGCCAATTGTCTGAACGCGGTTTCTGGGACCTCTCCACAGTGATCCTCACCCACATGGTGGCACTTTGTGTCATTGGGTGTTTATCGCTTGTGTGATGTCCTAGTGGGGTAGAAAGTCAGTCAGTCAGTCAGGTTTGGGAAAAAAAATGACTCTTGCTAAAACTAACACACAACAGGACGAAAGAACATAGTTTGCCTGGATTCTAGACTTTCTTTACAGATGCCGCACGAGTCAGACGGGAAGAACACAAGAGCAAGTTTTCAGATTACAAGAAGGTGTCCCTCAAGGAGGCGTCATATCTCACATTTCCACAAAAAGTTAAAAGATTTCAGGACCATTGCTACTCTTTACCTGTCTATAATACATGTCTCCTTTGTCCTTATTCCTTTCCTTCCATGTAACATGATCCATGATGTTCCCACTAAATTAGCTACTGGTTCCATCATAATGGTACTCTCCATTGGCTTCTATAGAAGGGGATGGAACATTTGTAGGAATTTCCCACGTGTATATATCAGTTCCTAACTCAACTCTGTTACCATCAATCCATCTGAAAACCATTATCTTTCATCTTCTGCTTGCACACATCTTTATATCATAGTTTATATGCAGTCCACAACAACTTCTACTTAACTCTAATTCACTATAATGGATTTTCTTAGAGACTCTTCCGCCCTCCATCTTCTGGGAGTGTCCTATCCCTCTGAAGACTAATACACTGTAATCAACAGTAGGCATGTGCATTTGTGTGCGCATACACATCAATTGTTTTCATTGCAGGTGTTAGATTTTTCCAGATGTTGTACATGATTAATATTTTCCTAGCTAATAAAGAACTTGGATGAAACATTTGACTATATCTGTATGTGTCTTTTCTGCTCTTTTTTAAAGATTTCTGGTCAGATTTTGTGTTGTGTTCATTTATTTCTCATTACTTCATTTGGTGCTTTTAAAGATATCATCATCATCATCATATAGCAGGTCCTTTGCAGAATGTCGCTCTCACTAGTCTGAAAGAAACTCTGTCTCTCGCCAGATCTCCTGACTCATGCACTTTCATACTCAAGGAGTCACTTATATCCTGTGCCCATCTTCGTATTGGTCGGCCCCTGCCCCTCCTTCCTGGTACCATACCCTCTGCTATAATTTTTTCCAACCCAATATAATCAAGAAAATTAAATATATTACCAACAAATTAACTATTGGAGCCCACTTTTTTTTTAAAACACATGTTTAGTTAATTTTCATTTCTAAAGCCTATTTTTTATTCCAATGGCTTGGTATAAAACCTGTCCATTTTCCATAGTTGTAGATTTGGGTCGACAATAACCTATAGAACTAGAAATATACTAGAACATATAGAACTAGAAATATACTAGAACATATAGAACTAGAAATATACTAGAACATATAGAACTAGAAATATACTAGAACATATAGAACTAGAAATATACTAGAACATATAGAACTAGAAATATACTAGAACAAGACAATGCGATGGCTGCTGCCTCATACCTGTATTTTTTAAGGCAGATGTCTCGTAAAACAATGCATCAATGGAGGCGGCATATTCCATAGCATCTTCTTTGCTGACCTTTCTGCCACTCTCAAGGTCACTTTTGTTACCCAGAAGGCATAAAACTGGAGACAAATTTTTTTATAAAAGACACTGAATAGGATAGCTGCAATAATTGTTACACTGCCCTTTAAAAATAAACAGAAAGTAAGTTACTTTTTACACTACGATCATGTGACATCTGGCAGCACAGGCAATCATGTTCACGCATAACCATCTAGGTTACTGATTAGTAAAATCACAGATCACTTTCCATGAGTACCTGTGTACGTTTGGGGCACAGGAAACAGACCCTCTGCCCCTTTAACAAGTATGTTAAAGGAGGTGGTTAATTTCCATGGCGTGTGTGCGTGGCATCCTGATTGCTGTGGTGCGCCTCTTGGCTGGTTGCCTCCGACTTCAGCACCTTGTTTTGCTTAGGTAGACTGTGATCATACTCGAGGAGAGTAGGCTCATCCATTCGTCTTTCGCCTTTACCTCGTGTGTTGTCCCATCCAGTTTCCCGCTGGGGGTTGAGACCCCAACCTTCAACTGGATTGCTGGGTAGAACAGGGTCCACCACGTGAAGGTGAGAGGTAGGCTTGAGCAAGAGAAGCTAATAGACATTAAGAGTCTTGTATTGTGCATCATTGCTCCATTAGGACCCCATTATACAAGAGACAAAACTGCTGATATAGACAACTTGCTTCAGGCGAACGAAAGAAGAAGAAGAAGAAGGAGGCGGTTAATTAGGGGCATTTCCTTCAGTTGGAGTGCATCTGCCTGAGAGGTAAGGAACCAACAGTCTGCATACAAATAAACCTGATCTGTGCATGCAATATTTAAGTTCTGGAATAAGACAACAGTCCAGAAGTGGACGAACAACCAGAAGTTTTCGCCAAAGTCTACAGCCGGTGAAAGCGAAGAAGAAGCAGAAGCCTTTCCATACCCCTCAGCTAAGATGTTCAGTATTCTATCTATCTTTCTCTCATTAATTTTAAAACAGCCGGTTTGATTCAACTTCAGGCAATTTGGCAGCAGACCGCCTTATTTTGATTTCAGCAACGGTATGGAGCTTTGTCTGTTCAGAAAGCAATGGCAAACTATTCAATGTTTAAAAAAAGCCTAGTAAAATCACAAACAGCTAATAAATGCTGGGGTTGGTTTGCAATATCCTGGAGAGGTCAACGATCAGCACTCAAGGGAAAGATGAGACGGATACACAATCAGACTGTTAATGGTATCAGTGAAATTGGAACTTGCGCTTGCTGCTGAAGATGGGAATGGAGCACTTATGAAAATGTCCAGAGTGCTGTGATGTTGATTCTTAATCAAACATTAATGTCCTGGAAAGAAGAATATTCTTCTTCTTCTTCTGTGTTCATCCAAAGATGTAAATGTGAGGTAACCTTTACAACATGCTGTGATATTTGTACCTTTGGCTGCCACATTTGATTTCTGTGGGCATTTGTTGCCTTGGTTAGCCTTTCCAGGGGGAAGAAAACATAACCAACTTAATACCCACCAAATATGACCGCAAAGTATTTGAGTGGAGTTAAGAACTGACTCTGACACACTTTGGGCATTCTCAGATGCTCTCATCCTTCATCAGCCAGCAAAGATATGAAGTGCTTATCCTTCTATTGGGTCCTGCTATTGAGAGACAGGATGATCAACTCCCTCACTTGCTGCCTTTTCTTTCAAAGATCAAGAGCAAATCATAGATTTTCTGCCCATTCAGATGTACAAGGAAACAAACAGGCTGATAGATTAGCTGCTGCAGCTGCTTTGGGTAAATAGCTAATTTATGATAAATCAGACGTGGTGAAGGCTTATTGGGATCAAATGGTCAGTGTAACAGAGCTGATAGAGAATCCAGACACTGAAAGACTAATTCAACGAAGGGTGACTAGGGTTTTTGGAAGATGTTCAACACCGAGAGGAAATTATAGGCAGACTTTAATCAGGCTGAAACTGGTACTATTAGCATGTCAACTGCTCGTTGGCTGCTGAAGAGGGAATGGATCACATGTGGGAATGTCCCGGTGCAGTGATGTAAATTCTTGATTCATTCATTCATTCAAAGACGGGCATATTTTAGCTAAGTGAAACCTAAGTAACATAAGTTCTCTTTTCAAGTATTTGTTGATATATTTCAAATTATTTGCAATGTCCTCCAAATGATATGCAGTTAATTTTAAATCTCGTCACAATCCTGTCATACTAGGATTCAAAATCAGCTGCAAGCACTTTGAAGTTTAACATAACTGGGAATTACATTTACTGCAATTTATAACTGATGTTGTAGGTTAGTTTCTATGATGGTGATCCATTTTACACAACTCACCAATAGGCGTATCAACATTTTTCTTGAGTTCTGAAAGGAAGAAAAAAAAGGTGTAATAAAAAAAACTAAAAATTAAATTACAATTCATTTAACAGAAAAAAACACTGTTAACTTTGGCAAAAAAAAAGAGAGGTAAAGCATTTCAGCTGAAAGTAATTTTTTTAAATAATATTTCAAGGTATAGAAATGAAACTTCACCCACTTCCCAGAAAGTCTTGGAAAGTATCGGCACTGACCACAGCCTCCACCCAGTGCTGACTAGTCTATAAAATAAAGGTCTAGTATTATGTACCGATATGTTCAAGGGTGTGGAGATAAGCCCTTATCTTTAGTGACAGAATCCACTTGGAGACAACCACATTTGACTCACACTTTCAAATTCATAGGTTCAGTTTCAAACTCCATAATCAGTTTGCTCAATTTGGGTGTGGGGGGAAGGAACCACCTACTACTCCTGAACAAGCATTGCCATAAAAGGATTTGCTGAAATCTGATCTTTCAGGCCAAAATGTAATGATTTCACGACCACAACACATTGTGCCAAGTTATGTTTCCCCCCTGTTGTACCCAAAGTAGTGTTGTGAACTGTACTAAAAACGGCAGGTTTTTTGTGTGTGCTTGCATCAACAGTCGAAGACTGTCAGTGTTGGCACATCTGACGCCTACCTTATGCTTTTACTTTGCATGTGCAAGTTTCAAAAGAAAAGGAGGTGGGTGATTTCTGCAGCAATGAACATCAAGGGCTCAGAATGCTGAAGGAAGAAGAACACAAAGGTCTGCGACTCACCTTTGACCCAGTCCTTAATGTCGTAGAAGCTCTCCAAGGATGTTATATCATACACCAGCATGGCTGCATTTGCCTTTCTGTAGTACATTGGGGCCTGTTCACATACACACAAAAGACATATGGTCAATATCTTTCTGATTTTCTTCTTCTTCAGCCTTTTTAACCCTCAATGGAGCACAGGCTCTCAACCACCCCAAGCCAGCTCAATCTATCCTTCGCTATCGCATGCAGCTCTCCCTCAACTTTTCATTCGATTCCGTGAGTGGGGTAGAAAAGAAATATCATCAGTGAAGTCCAGATCATCAACCTGTTTTGTAGGGTCCACTGAATTCCATTCTTGGTGTTAGCAGTTGCAGTCTTCATAATCCAGTCTACTGCGAGTAAAATATGAAAGGCAACGAAAGACATAACGGTCTGTTATCTTTCCCTCCTGAAGAACTCCCTGCTTTTACTGACTGTATTTATCACTTTTATGGCAGTGTAGGACAGGGAACAGGGAACCTGCCCATTAGGGCTGAATGGCCAATGCAGTCGCCTTAAACTGTGCACATGAGGATTTATATTTTTGCCGCCTACATAAAAATCTCTATCCCTTTCCGAGGAATGAATCTGGGACTTCTAGATGAGAGTCCATTGCCCTACTGATCCTTATTAAAAATTACGAATAACAATGTAAATCTGTCATGCTTGTTTAGAAAGGGGTGGGGGGTGTGATTACATAACACACCCAGCCCCTTTTTAGAGTTTCAATGTATCACTGGTTCATTATATTTTGTCTTCTATTGTGTTAATGTCCCATGATTTATTCACTTATGTTGTTGGTACCTTTACGTGTGCACGTGCGTGTGTATATATAAAGTGTGTATATATAAAGTCTACATATACATACACATATGCACACACACATACCCATTCACATACATGCATTAATTAATACATATATATATATACACACACACACACACATATATATATATATATATATATATATACACATATATTCACACACACATTTATCTCTCTCTAGCACACACACATATAGGCATATCTCTATTTATATTTACGTAAAGTCTACCGATCAGAACTGCTTATCATTCACTATATCATAACCAGTATTTTAACTTTAATACTTGACTTATTCTTAGCAACACTGAAAAAACTGGACTTTACAAAGGAAGTTTACAGATATTAGCTGTCTTATTAAAAAAAAAAAAAAACCCCCGATATTTACATGTTCAAAACCCTTAGTTTCAATTGATTTTTCTCTGCCACAGGTTTCCCCAGCCTGGCAAGGTGGAGCAGCTTAAATGTCTCAATGATCCGGAGAGATGTGCTCAGTGCCGTGTGGTGCTACGATACAGGGACGCGGTCGCATCAGGCCGCAAGGTAAGAGGAGGGTGGCATAAGCAATGAAAACAAAATCTGATCTGACAACACGAAGCAGTTAGCCGGCAGCATTTCAAAGACATACTGAGAACGTCTACAGCACGGGAGGGGCTATACCAGCACTGTTTCCCACACAGGACAGGTCAAAGGGTAGTGAACAGACAAAGAGGGGCAGTCTGGTCCTCTGAGACTGGGGATGTGAACATGGGATATATGTGAGCAGATGGAGGTCATCAGCTGGGGACAGCAATCCATCTAGGCAAAGGAACTCTGATCATAAACCACCATTGTTAAATGGACAGGTCAGGGTTCCCCATGGATTAATGAAGCTTATCCTAATAGGCAAGCACCTCAAGTTTGTGCCAAATCAAAAGGTGCTGATAGCCCATAAGAAAAATGTCATAGCTACATCTGAAAATTAAGGCACCATACAAATCTCTCATCTTCCTAGTGAAATACATGTAAATAAGGCTTCCACGTTAATGAGATTTCCATCGGTTTTTTCTTTACTAGAAAACATTGAAACATAATTTTTTTAAAGAAACAATTATTAAATCTGTACAAAATTACACTGATTGGGGGTGGGAGGGGGGATTTTAAATCAACCCACAATGATGGGCAATTACAACGAGAGTTTAAGTGTCTCCTCTTCGTAGCAAAAAACCTGAACATTTTTGTCGAAACAATGCACTGCATGTCCAGAATGATCCCTCTCTCTGCCTGGCTTGTTTACCCCCAAAGGAAGGGTAATGTCTTTAAAAAAAAAAAACACCATTTAATTAATTAAGAGGAAGAAATGTCAACACGAAACAAGAAACGCCCATACCATAGACCGGAACCTCTCCTGGCCGGCCGTGTCCCATACTTGTAATTTCACCCGGTACTGTTCAAGGGTCCTGCCATTAAAAAATACACAAACATTCTAGAAATTTGGACCTTTTCCATTAAAAATTAAACCACAAAACAGCAAAGTAGTCAAGACAATGCCTTGCATGCAGGAAGTTGTGTTGTTTGGTTCACGAGTGACACTTTTACTGAGATTCCTTGGGATTCGTCACTAGAGCTGTGAAGTTTGTACTTTGTCATTTAAAAATCTTAAAATTCTATTAATGGATCAAAACAATATTATAACCAATTCAAATCTGTAATAAGCCAGAATGAAGGCATCAAGTCAGAGATAAATGCTCCAAAAAGCAGCAGCTGGAAGACTTTTCCAGGCCATAAACTGAGGATTATCAAAGATGCAAACAGCAGGGAATGGAGAGTGAGAAGCAATAATGAAATTCATGATCTGTTTAAATCACCACTGATTACTGGCATTATGAGAGCTAATAGACTGCAATGGTTGGGGCATATTGAAAGAATGTCAGATGACAGAGAAGTAAAAACTGTACACACAAGGGAGATGAATGGTCGTAGACCACGAGGGAGACCAAGAAGAGAGATAATGTCCAGACAGACCCGCAAACACTTTGTGTCACCAACTGGAAAGATAAGGCCAACCAGAGAGATGAACGGAGGCGGGTGATATCTGCATCACTGAACCTCAAGGGCTTGGAATGTTGTAGAAGAAGAAGATAAACTGAGAATTTCTTAGCAAAAGAAAAAAATAGCAAGAGAAATATATGGCTGTACACTGTTCTACCTACGTGACTCTTAATAATTTAGGAACAAATCTGAGCTTCTGAACTGAAATGTTGCAGAACAATTCCTGACACTGTGACCTATGTGCTATTTGCAACTGTGACTAGTGGGGAAGTATGGCATTATAATTTATATTTAAAAATCCAAGCTGCTTTGCAAACAGAAACTAGCCCTTAAATACTTTTTAGAAGACAATTTACAAATATTTTCCTGACAGCTTTTCTTCTTTTTCAAACAACAGTGTCCACTGTGCTTTAGAGGGATCAGGAAATCACAGCCAAAGAGCAGCGCACATTAACCCTTTCACTCCAAAAACATAGGTTACAAATTCGTAGGAATTCCAGCAACATAAATCCTCTAAAAAAAAAATTATATTTTTTATTTCTGTTTAAAGAAATATGTAAAGATATACAAAAAGGAGTAATCTATAAACATGAAAGCAATGAAGCATAAACAACAGTTCTAAGCTGAAAAAAAAAAACTGTATCAATTAACTCATACTGTAACCCTGTGGTCTTTAACAGGGGACACCTCTGACATAAAAATGGCTTTTAAAAAAACCACCTGGTTCATAAACCCCCCCCCACCCACGCATTATTTGTAAAAAATTAATATAACCGGGTCTAATAAACACTTCACAACGTGTGAACAGGACCAATAACATTAAACTACACTTCTCAGAAACAGGTCACTGCAGACAAGCCGGTTTCTGGTCCTTTATGGAAATGTAGTGTGCATGTGACAGCCTGTTTCATGGCCTCTAGGTCGGCAGGGTAAGAAGAATCTTCCATAATAAGTGCATAAGATTTCAGGAGCACTGTTGCCATCAATTGTATCTGACAAGGTTTTTTGTTTCTTCGCAGATGCCCAACTCTTAAACCTGTCTGCAATTCTCTTCCGCTCTGTCCCAGTTCAATTTCCTAATTTATTTACAAATATTATGCTGACATTAAAGGCATTGCTCTCTGAATTTTAGTCGAGTTCCAGGGCCTCATTCTGAAGGAAATAGACAGATCCATTCCCTTTAACAAACATGTCGTAAAAAGTGACTCATTAGTGCTTTGCTGAAATTGGATGTGTTGGACCAAAAGGTGTAGATATTATAGCCTAGCTTCACAGCAGAAGTGGAAGATGATGATGCCAATGATGACAATGAGCTCAATACAAAACAAAAAAGTGAAAGGCTAACTTACAGCTTGTATGTGAAAAACGAGGCCCCGATTGTAGGACTGACAGCTTTGCTGAACATACCTCCGACATAGCGGATCACAACACTGGTTTTTCCAACACCTGAATCAATTTAGTTCTCATAGTTAACAACTAGGAGAAAAATATAAACACGTTTTATTTTAAGTCTAGGACGGCTACTACTGAACCCATTTCCTACTGGGACAGGAGTGCAGTTACATCAGGCAAGTGTAGCCATTATAGGTATCCCAATTATAACAATTTTGGAGGTTGAACTGGGTATCTTAGATTTGCCCTGTTGGCTTGCCATTTAGATTTTTTTAAAACTCAGGGTGGCCAAACCTTCAGGCAGCAAATGAGATGAGAAAAAAAAGAAGGAAGTGGTGCATCGTCTGATGTGGATAATCAGTTCTCTTTGTGAGTTAATTCTTTCAAAACATTTTCCTTACCCTTTTTAAAATCTATTCACTGGTTTTCATTATTTGTATTTCTTGCCAATACATGTATCTGCTAGGCGATGGCCAGAAAGAAATGTGATTTACCATCATCATCCTGCTGTGCCATTACATATCATATAGAGTTCACACTCTAGTTCACCATTACATTTTATCCTGTGTATTCCTTTCACTATCACGGATGGTATACAGCGCTACGTCTTTGGCCTTTCTCATCAATATCTGTCGTAGGGTTTCTCTTGGGCATCTGTGTTTCCCCTGTGTGTATGAGAGCATGTTATGTACTCGTAGGTACTTTATGTATGTGCAGGAATTAGTGTGTGTATTTATGAGTACGTGTAGACAGGTGTGTGTACATGTATGTATGTATGTATGTATATATGTATATATGTATGTATGTATGTATGTATGAGTGAGTGCTCATATTAATGAATATGTTTGTGTGAATATATGAGTGTGTATGTATGTATGCATGAGTCAGTATTGATGTATTATGAGTGTTGTGTAATTATGTGTGTATGTTCATTAGTCTGCATTAGTATGTAAGACTGTGTGGAAGTAAGAGTGTGCACATGTATGTAGATACACGTGTGTGTGTAAGTTCATTAGTATGTGTATGCATCAGTATGTATGACTGTGTGGAAGTAAGAGTGTGCACATGCATGTAGATACACGTGTGTGTGTGTATGCTTGTGGATATATGAGTGTTATATGTATGTACATGTACTTGTGTGTATGGAGAGTGTGTGTGCATGTGTACATACATGTATATGCATGCATTTGTCTATTTATGAGTATGTGTATACATGTTATGTGTGTGAATGTATTATGTACATGTTTAAGTGCAATATACAGCAATGTGTGGGTGTCTATATATGTATTATGTTGCATGTATGTATGCATGAGTATCTCTGTGTATGCATAGATGTGTGAGTGTGTATGTGTATCTCAGACCAACATATATCTGTGTGTTCATGTAAGTATAAGTGTATAAATTTGTGTGTCTATAGGCTTGCGAGTGTATGCATGTGTATATGTTGTGTATAGTGTATACATGTATGCATACATAAATGTATGTTTTTTTTTTAAATCCCTGCACCAATACTAATTTGATACATTAAAATAACCTGCTCTGTAGATAAAAATACAACTGAAGGTGAAACAGTTTTCTGAAGATACATAGAGGTTGACCCCACCCACCCCCCCCCCCCCCCAAAAAAAAAAAAAACAAAAAACATTGAGTTGCTTGGTGCTGAAGTTGGTGCTGATGTAATTACTTACATATGACTAAAAATGAGTCATTCTATACTAGTGAATCATATCATGCAAATGTGGGGTTATGGCCCCAATTGCAGATGTCAAATTCAAACACAAAACAGTCACAAATGAAAGAAATTTGACAGATATTTTTAATGGCTGTACACGGTACTGGTTGTGTACTTTTATACATAAACCATAATTCTGAAGAGTGAAAAAAATCGCTAAAAAGGGTCGAGGTTGGGAAAGTTACAATGGAATAGTAATACTAATAGTAATAAATTAATAAATTATTAAAAGTTAAACTGATAGATAGTCTTTTACTGTCTTTGCTATATTTCTAATACAAATTATGATAGAATTGTAAGAAAGTTCGCAACTATCGTTTTTTGTTTGCATTTAAAATGAATGAAATGTCACTTGTATTTGATTTATATATATATAATAATACTAACTACGTCTACTAAAAGTTAAACTTTATGTCACTTGTGCGATATCGGATATGGACTGCTGTAAAAGTGTGTTAACTTTCAATGGCCTCCAGCTTTTATCTGCAACAGCTATTACACAGTTTAATTGTTTAAAGTGTCGAGGTAAAACTCAGACTCAAGTAAAACAAACGTGTTGAAAAATCGCCTACTCCTTACTAAGTAAGTTACTTCCACCTTCTTACCTTGGGATCCCAAAACAACAACTTTCGCTTCCAGCGATTTCATGTTCAAGTCAATCATTTCCGGTGGTAAAGATATGTCCCGATGTGTGAATGTTCACAAAAACGTCTGATGATATCAACAGTGCTTGAAACCTATCTATATTATAATCTTTTGAAACTATGTCAACCGTGATAACAACAAGTTAAGCTCCTCTAGCCATCTTGTCACTGTTTGTTTACAGCCAGCCAGGGGTGACTTCCGGTTCCCTGGTCCTGTTCTTGTTCTATGGTTAGCCGCTTGTCCACGCTCAGGTGTGTCACCAGGCGCGAATGAACGAACGAACTTTTTTTTCTTCAAAGGGTCACATACTGGGAACGCAGGCCCGTCTTACATTGGGCCCTTCCACGCATCCATCTTTTACGCAGCAGTTGTATTTTATCAATAAAGCATGTTAGGTTCATATAATAATATGCATATTATGGATATCAAGAAACAACACAAACGCATCGGTGGTAAAATGCATGCACACGCTCGCTCGCGCGCGCACATACACTGACATGCACGCGCCCACTCACTCACTTACACACACATACCTACCCGCCCACATATCTACACACACACACACACCTGCATACATATTACATACACATGCCACACACATATACATGCATGCACGCACGCACGCCGCACAGACACATAAATCAAGACACACACCACGCCCTTCATCTGGACATACCAGCGGGAAAAATCTCGTGGAAGACCAAGGGAAACCCTACGTAGAACTAATCACACACCAGGCTCGCTCATGTGGCCACTCAAACATCCATAGACCTACAACGGATTGCAACGGACCATACATACATACATACATGGAGGAGTCATGACCTCTGCCCTATGTGCCGCACTCGACACAAGAGGAAATACTAACAATACTAACTACACGCACGCATACATACATACAGTACATACATACATACATACATACATACATACATACATACATACATACATACAGACATACATACAATACATACATACATACATACATACATACATACATACATACATACATACATACATACAATACATACATACATACATACATACATACATACATACACACACACCACACACACAATACACACACACACACATACATACATACACACACACACACACACACACACACACACACACACACACCATACATACATACAGAACATACATACATACATAACATACATTACATACATACATACATACATACATACATACATACATACATACATACATACATACATACATACATACATACATACATACATACATACATACATACATACATACATACATACATACATACATACATACATACATACATACATACATACATACCATACAGACATCCAAGACATAATACATACAGACATACATACATACATACATACAGACAGACATACAGACATACATACATACATACATACAGACATACATACATACATACATACATACAGACATACATACATACATACATACATACACTCCATACATACATACATACATACATACATACATACATACATACATACATACATACATAAATACATACAAACATACATACAGACAGACAGACAGACAGACAGACAGACAGACAGACAGACAGACAGACAGACACAAAGACACACCCAGAGACACAAACACACACAGAGACATTTACAGACGCACATGCAGACAAATCTACGCGAACGAACAGACACACCCAGACACACACAAATACAAACACAGACACATATAAACACGCGTAGATACACACGCAAACACACACACACAGACACACACACGCAGACACATAGAAAGACGCACACACACACACACACAGAGACACACACAGACACACACATACTCAGACACTCAGGCAGACATGCATAAGCAGACACACATACACAAACAGACAAACAAACACATATACAGGCACTCACGCAGACGTACACAAACGCAGACACCACATGGACAAACACACACAGGCAAATACACCCGCAGACATACCCAAAATACACACACAGACAAACATACACATGCAGAAGCACATGCAGGCACTAGGGCAGACATACATGGGTAGACACACATACACAGACTCAAACAGACAAACACACACATATACAGGCACACACTCAGACGTACACAAACGCAGACACCCACAGATACACATGAACGAACACACACATACAAATACACTCACAGACATACCCAAATACACTCACAGACAAACACACACTCGCAGAAGTATACGCAGACACTCGGGCAGACACAAACACGTAAACACACATACGCAGACAAAAAAAAAAAGACACACAAGCATACACATGCAGACGCATACAAAAAGAAACACGCATGTAGAGAAATGCGCACAGACACACACGCAGAAACATACATAGACATACACAGAGGCAAACACACACACACCGACACACACAGATACACAGACAAACACACACACACAGACAAACACATACAGAGAGACACACACAGACAGCCACACACGCAAACACACACACAGACACACGCACGCAGAAACACAAGCTGACACACAAGCAGACGAATACACACCGACGTACACGCACGGACACACACACAAACACACGAAGACACATACACACAAATAGACACAGAATACACACACCGACATAAACACACATACTCACATACATACATATCGAACACACCTTCTTTAATTATAAATTGATAATGCAGTATAGGCTAATAATTATATTTGAGGTGGCAAATAATCATCTGTAAGCATGAACTGAAAAAGTTTGAGTTAAATTAATAGGAATTTGTATTTTTCAGATCCAGTGAAAGATGGTTCCAAAATGAGCAACAGAATATGCTAAACTTGTTTTAAATAAATATATTCTAGGTTTAAGCAAATGTAATAAACCTAGTCGCTTGCCGTTCGTAGGATTTAATCAATTGGAAAAGGTAGTTTGGAATACTTTTAGATACAATTTTATGAATAAATTTAGCCTTGTTTAAAAATAAACGTTTACTTAATGTTAGAAGTCTTAGAATGTTATATAGAGGATTTTTGTCGATATGTTTTCTATCTGAAACCAGGTGCAAAGCGTGATTTTGAAGGGAACTTAGTATTTTAATATTCGATTTGGCGCAACCATCCCAAACTGTTGAACAATTGTCGACATATATTTGAATGAAGGACGCGTAAAATACTTTTCAAACACATCCAGGAAGTGCTGAATATGGGCAAGCTACTGGTCAATTTTCTTTGTTATGTCGTAAACATGAGAATTCCAAGTTAAAAAACTGTCAACTGTGAGACCTAATGTTTTATGCTCATTTACATTATCAATAGGTAATTGATCAATGTAAAGCTAAAGTTGTGGCTTGTGCAGTGCTAATATTTGTAACTTAAAAGCATAGTAAGCAAAAATTTAGTTTTATTTATGTTAACTTGCATGCGATTGCAAGATTATTTTTTTTTCTGTAAAGAACTTTTCAACTCATTACAATTCTCATGACGTATATATTGTTCAGTCGTCAGCAAACAGATCACATGTGATCACGAGCTGACACATGAATTACTTTCTCGGACTTGAAGTACAACATCAATTTACTTGAGCTGTCAGCGTTTCTTTTCTGCAGCAACACAGCATCTTGCCGTCAGCCAGACGCTGTTCGAAAAATCATTTGATGTTGCTGTCGATGACCGATCATAAGGACCGATGGAGAGGCCGGCGTGCTTCACGCCTCTCGTCAGCACCACATAAGGTTCATTTTAAACCCCACCGCAAAATGTCAACAGTTCTGAAACCACATGGTCAGCAAGCCTGAATAAAAGGTCAACCTCGGTTTGTTTGGGGCGGAAAACGTAAATAGAAAGAATTTCTAGATGGTTACACGGACCTCTTAGTCCACTTACAAAACTTTGAGACGTTGGAAAAGAGGGGTGGGGGTCTCAAAAGACCTGATCCACCAGGTTCCATCGCCTAGGAAACATAGTCTTCATTATGAGAGCTCGGCATTCTAGCAATCGGGCTATCTTCTCGTCTTAGGAATAGTCTATGACATCAGAAAATGTTTACAGACGAGGGAGAGAGATATAGGGCGCGAGAATGAACGAACCCACACCTCTCTCCAAGCCTCCATCCAGATTAGGAACTGGGCACGCAGGTATGATTAACAGAGACAGACAGACAGACAGACAGACAGACAGACAGACAGACAGACAGACAGACAGACAGACAGACAGACAGACAGACAGACAGAGGGACAGACGGACGGACGAACAGACAGACAGACAGACAGACAGACAGACAGACAGACAGACAGACAGACAGACAGACAGACAGACAGACAGACAGACAGAGGGACAGACGGACGGACGGACAGACAGACAGACAGACAGACAGACAGACAGACAGACAGACAGACAGACAGACATAGGGTGTGGAAAGAAGATATACAGATATAGCGAGAGAGGGTGTAAGTGAGAGAAGCAAAGAGAGAAGCATTTAGTTTGAACACAGTTGCATGAAGTAATATCTCTTCAAGAATAGACTTCAGGCGGAATGCATTCATAACGTGTGTGATGTTTATTGAAACACTACATAAACTTCAGGAGGAATGCATTCATAACGTGTGTGATGTTTATGGAAACACTGCATAGACTTCAGGAGGAATGCATTCATACCGTGTGTGATGTTTATTGAAACAGTTCAACAAAATAACATTGCAAATCACAAGTAGGACAGTAAACAAATGTATGCTCAATTTAGGTAGGTAGGTAGTTATACCTAATCAGGACATCACACAAACGATAAACACCAGGTGATACAAAGTGCCACCATGCGGATGAAGATCTCCTGTGGATAGGTCTTAGAAACCTTTTTTAGCCGTTATGCCATATCTATGGCTAGGCCATATCTATGCCCGGGCTCTATTCAAGGCCCCCGGCAGAAGCCAGGGTGGGGCTTCAAATAAAAAAACTGCATCTCTCAAAGGGATGAGAAGTACATGCCTAATTTACAACATAGGGCAGTTATAGCTAGTTAAGGAATGAT